GATGGCGAGGTCTAATCTGAGTCCCCGTAGGGCGTCACTCTGCTGGACCCCCCAGCAGCCCTCGAAAGTGGCGACAGTTTCACAGATCGCAGCCCCACAGAGAAGAGAGGAGGAGGCGGGAGGAGGCGGGAGGAGGAGGAAGGTGGAGACCACAGTGCTCTATTCAAAACGAGTGCCCAACGCAGGAGGGTTGGGAATAATGATAATATTAATCATAAAAATATTGCTAATACTGATAACTCACACTACTATCAATACTACTACTACTACTACTACTACTACTACTACTACTACTACTACTACTACTACTACTACTACTACTACTACTACTACTACTACTACTACTACTACTACTACTACTACTACTACTACTACTACTACTACTACTACTACTACTACTACTACTACTACTACTACTACTACTACTACTACTACTAATCAAACTACTAATAATAATGATGATGATGGTGATGATGATGACGGTGATGATGATAACGACGACGATGATAATGGTGATGATGATGAGTACTAAATAATCCAAATCGGCGTAAACATGAACTTTCAGACGTCTCTCTCAACTGAGACGTCTCCCTCGTCCCGAATAGGCCCATCCCCCGAGCGCGGGGACAACAAGCGACCACGGCCACATCGAGAACCCCAAGAGGCCCCGAGGATAACCCCAGATAGACCCGCTCGAGACGCCCAGAAGCCCCCAGAGGCTCCAAGAAGCTCCCAAGATACCCCAAGAAACCTCACGTAGGCCTCTTGTCCAAGGCCCAGGCACGGCGGTGGGACCGGCCGAAGGCCTGTAGATCCGCCGCCCCCTTTGGCTTGACGCTCTGGGGGATGCCTTGCGAATGTCAAAATTTATAAGAATACCGAAAGCAGCTTCGTACTGGTTGTGCTTGATGTGGAGTCCCAGGGCGGCCAAATCGACCACGACCACAACCAGAAAGCTTTCGTCGAGGTCGGTGGGCTCTGCCCCGGGGTGCCCTCCTGAAAAATCCACTTGGTTGTGATTGGAGGATGCAGGGGCCCAGGGACACAAATAAATATACGCAAGTCCCAGGATCCCCCATGCTTTCCATATGTCCTGGAGGTTCGTATTCCCCGCCAGTTCTCGTACATTTACATTTTTATAATTGGGAATCGGCTGGGAGGACTCCATCTTCAGCGCGGCCAACCCTGACAATACATATTGGAAGGATTGCCTCGAAGCCAACAACAACAACAACAACAACAACAACAACAACAACAACAAGCTTGCCAAACATCACGGCTGTATGAAAAAGCGCGGGGAGAGGGAACTCCCGCGAGTAGAGGCGACCCCGATCGGTTCAGAGTCCTGCTGCATACTCGCGAATAGATTGGATAAATTGCACGATCTGTGCTGGGATACTGCTTGCTTCAGCGAAACTCGCGCCGCGACAACAGATGTCAACAGGCATCATTATGGACGGTGGGCGCCGTTTCATGTCTAGCCTCGAGGACTTCCACCATCTTGGTGTCGCAGTTTTGCTCCATGCAGACATTGCTGACCACGTCTGTCACATTGAACGCCGTTCAAACAAAGCGATTGCCTTGGACGTCCACGTGTACGGCATGGCGATCCGCATCATATCGGCATGTGCCCCTCAATGTGGGTACAGCCGACAAGCATTAGACGATTTTTACTCCGATGTGAACGGGCAGATGCATCGTGATTGGTGGCGATTTCAATACGCAGGTACATGTTAACAATAGGAGCGAACTACTGCGTGAGCTTGTGGCTGAGTTCAACCTGTTCGCTCCTTCAGACAATAGCGGGCAATCCTGGGGGGGACAAAAAAAGTGGACCTTACAAAGCACGCTGGTGAGCAAGAGCACGGCGGTCGCCAGGTGCGAAGCTTCCAACGACCTTGGCTGTGGGTCTGATCACTGGGCTGCGCTTGCATCTGTGAGAAAACTCGATTCTCGCCAACGACGGGCCAGATAACGTAAAATGCGTTGGCATGGTGCGCAACATTACGGGGATACCTTGGACAACATGCTCTCGAACACTCAAACTGACACCCTTGAAGGCGTGCACGCGCTGATGCTCCAGGCAACCGCGGAGAGCGGCGCCACTCAAGGGCAGCGTATCGCAGAGAACAAGCAGCGTGATTCACCTGAACTCAAGCTGACTGGCGCCAGAGAAGAGAACCGGCGGGAAGAAGGCGATTGTCGAATATTATCGCGACTGCAATGCGGATATTGCTCCGGCAGCGGCAGACGCGGCGTTTACAGGAACAGTTGGAAAGCTTTCGAGACATGAAGAAACTTGCTCAAATTTGTGCTGATCCAATCCGAAGAAAATCTACGGTGCGCTCTTGCAATCTCGCTCTGGCCGCATGTTTGAGTGTATGCGTCGGACACGGGTGATCTCGTGACTGGCGACCTGTCTCCACTGGCGGGCATTCCAGCCTCCTAGATTGAGGAACCTAGTTTGGCTCTGCGGCAGATGGCCGCAGGGAAATCGGAG